AAGTAATAGATAATTGACTAAATAAACATCCTCCAAAGTTTCAAGAAAAATTTCCAAGTTTTTCTTACAATTTCCGTGGTTTTTATTCAAGTTTTATCAATATCGATAATATCCCGATATTTCTATTGAAATTTCCGTGGTTTTGGACTACTGATATTTCTGAAACCATCGATATTTTAGACCTTACTCGTAAGCAATTCAGTTGAAAGTTTTTTTTTTGTTAGAAGCGATTGAAGTTTTTATAACTCATAAACACTTTTAAACTTGGCCTACTTGTGGAAGAAATGAAGGAGACGAACAGTTTAAGGGCTGTAGACCCAATGACTAGGGTCTGCCGCTCGAGCAAAAGCAAGTGACACTCGAGTGACAAAATGTAAAAATCCAAGCGCTCGAGCAGACTCAAGGCGCACTTAAGGGCAGAGCCACGTTGGGACCAATGTAGTCCTAGCCCCCACTGAGTTTTTATTATAAATATAAAAAAGTAGTATTTTGTTAGGATAATCCATATTAATTAACATATTTATTTTACCACGTGGGGCCCTACCCTGCCAAACCTACGTTTCCTCCAAGACTACGCCTTCTTTTGCAAACTCATTTCCAAAAGTTGACTATTATTATTATATTACCTTGTAACACAAATATTACATTTGTACACAAATTGCTAAAAAGTAAAGAGATTTTAATCTATTTTTCTATTTTCTTGGGGGGACAAACTTTCTCATTGTTTGTGACATGGTTGTTATGCAACGATTTCAAAATATGAAGACTTGTCATGGACAATTATGAATTGTAATGACTTTTTTTTTTTTTTTGGTTGTTGTCAAAATTATGATTGTAATAAATAGACAATATTATTTTTGATGTTTTGGTATGTCTTGAGTTTGAATTTTTTATTGTTTATATTTTGTGAGATGCCTTCACACACATAAAATCATGGCTTTGCCACTAGGCGCCCTCAAGCGTAAGTCACGAGGTCTCGGATCATACTCGTTTTAGGATGGTTTTTCCTTGAGTTTGGGGAGTTTTAGATTTCCTATTCCTTTGTATTATTGTACTAAAGTCTTATATGCTATACATAGGCATATTAGTGCTGATTTTCATGAGAAAGAGAAAATAAGGGCATCAAATTGGGTTTGAGCAATAGTGAGAGAAAAGAGAGCGGGTTTCTTGTGAGAGCTAAGGGGTTTCTTCATAATAACCAAATTAAAGTTGTTCTAACATACTAGTGAATTTCTCGGGTGGATCACTAAAAGGACGTAGGCACAATGCCGAACCTCTATAAATTCTTATGTTCTATGTGTGTGTTTGTTTCACTTTGGGTGTGTGATTATTTTATTCTCGTGTGATTTGGGTGTGACCATTGCTTACTTTTTTTGTAGTGGGGTCATATTAATTAGACCCAACTGGGGATGGTTGGATAGGATTATGGGACTAATTAATCCCACAAAAGAATATGGGGCACAATTAAGTAGAGATTTCATGTCCAAATCTCTGCTAGTTAAGACACTTATCCCATATATTCGTATCCCAACTGCTCCATAAACTAATGCTTAGTTTTACTTGTCTCTTCCATTGTCTGTCCCTATAGCTTTATGCCGTACTTTAAAACCTAAAAGGTAACCAATCAAACATGACAGAGAAAATGAAATATAATCATATTATGACCAGCAGCTTCGAACAGACAAAGGTACAGCAAAAAGGAAGGATTAATTTGGGGGGACAAAGAACATGGCATTTATATATATCGTCAAGTCGTCATCTCAGCCTGCAGATAAATTATTACTCATGATCATCATTAATTTCATAACTCGCCTATAGAGAGAGCCTTGTACCTTGTTTGTGGGACGTTATTCATAATCATGTGTCCTCCACAAAGGATATATTCCTTGAAAGGGAACCTAAAACTGAACCGTCCTAGTCATTGGATTAAGTTCATATACTTATAAATTGTCAATTGTATTAAGTATTACCTTCTGTTTAATAAATTCCGCGCTTAAGTTACCAAATAAGGGAATTGTCAATTTCTCCTTTTAAATTCACTGACTTTTAGCTAAATTCCGAGTCATTTTCTCTTATCCAAACAGAGGGTTAAGATGCTGTAAAATTAAGATTTGAGAATTAGATAAAACATGATATAAACATCTCATGCATATCCATTGATTTATTGTGCATCTCAATCATTCATTTATGATTTAACTTGCGAATTAGATATTAATGAATTTTTGAATTCATATAAACCAAATGGGACCATGCAAGATTTAGTTTCTTCATGGATCATGATATCGTTAGATTAGTAAGGAACAATTCATGTGCACATCTCATACATTTCCATTGATTTATTGTGCATCTCAATCATTCATTTATGATTTAACTTGCGAATTAGATATTAATGAATTTTTGAATTCATATAAACCAAATGGGACCATGCAAGATTTAGTTTCTTCATGGATCATGATATCGTTAGATTAGTAAGGAACAATTCATGTGCACATCTCATACATTTCCATTGATTTATTGTGCATCTCAATCATTCATTTATGATTTAACTTGCGAATTAGATATTAATGAATTTTTGAATTCATATAAACCAAATGGGACCATGCAAGATTTAGTTTCTTCATGGATCATGATATCGTTAGATTAGTAAGGAACAATTCATGTGCACATCTCATACATTTCCATTGATTTATTGTGCATCTCAATCATTCATTTATGATTTAACTTGCGAATTAGATATTAATGAATTTTTGAATTCATATAAACCAAATGGGACCATGCAAGATTTAGTTTCTTCATGGATCATGATATCGTTAGATTAGTAAGGAACAATTCATGTGCACATCTCATACATTTCCATTGATTTATTGTGCATCTCAATCATTCATTTATGATTTAACGTGAGCATTAGATTTTTTAAACGTAAAAGCATTAGCAACAATAGAATTCAAGGAAATAATCAAGAAGAAAATCTTTCCCCTTTTTTTTGTTGTTGTTGAATATGGGATTGCCAAACTTGTATATCATTTATTTTTATTTTTATTAAATTGACAAACTATCAAGCTGACTTTTAGTTCCAAAATCAATGATAACTATAAGGATGCCCTTATTTTCTATTCTTTTTCAAGGATAAGGAAATTCGTAATTCAACGATCGGAACCGTTCAAATTTTAGATCTCTTTCAATGATTATTTGTGCAAAAAATCAGTTATAGATGTGATACATATGTGTACTTGGTTATAGCATCATCGACTATATATGTAAATGCAGTTTTGTGTGCATGCATGTTAAGTCATGAGTTTATGCAAGATTAATCAGAATTGTTGTCACAATTGACATTACGTTTTCCATTTCTTGTA